GCCAGCACCGCGGAGCAGACACAGAGGAGGCCGTCGGGCCTCATGGACCCGGCCGCAGCCCGCCGCCTCGCAGCCAGGGCAGCGCTTGCGGGGGCAGCAGGGCCAGTGGCCGCAGCGGGCGCCTCCTGTGAGCTCCTGGCCGAGACGCCTCCGGGAAGCCTTCCTGGGACAGCAGTGGCAGCTGGGCCCTGTGGGGGGACCGGGTGAGCTGGCTGGGGGCGGCCAGGGGCAGGGCACGTGGGGTCCCTCCGCTGGCCGTGGCTGGAGCATGGTGGTGCGGGAACGGGAAAGGCCAGGCAGGGAGGGGCGGCCAGGGCCCCTGCTGCCCTTCAGCGCTGCCCCGCCCTCTGCCCTGCCCTGCCCCTGCGCTGACAGCCCGAGGCCTGCAGGGGCGCTGGGCTCTGGCGCCGGATCCCAGCACAGGCTGGCGAGGCCACCCATGTCCTGGCCGGGCAGCAGGGCCCCACCGGGCAGTGCCTGTGAGGCCCGTGAGTGGGCAGGCCAGGCGCTGGGGGCTGGCAGACGGGGCGACCCCCAGGGCTCAGCAGACCTGGGTCACCTGAGCGCAGGCAGCAGGTGGCAGCAGAGACCGTGGCTGCCCGAGCCGTGTCCCTGGACACCGGCCTGGACACCGTGGAACTCAGAGCCCTTAGAATGCTGGCAGGGGGGGAGTGGGGCGGGGCCGAGACCCGCCTCCCCTCCCCCTCCCCGGCCCCAGGCAGCCTGTAGACTGTCCCCACCCGCAGTGAGGCGGCTGAGGCAGGACCCGCGGGTCAGTGCGGCACCACCTGTGTCTGCCGGGACCCGCCTGTGGTCTCCCAGCGCATACTGGCCGCCGGGGCCTGGGGACAGGGACGCGGGTCCCCAAATGTCTCAGCTTCACATGTGCCTTTCGTGGGCCGGGTCGGGCCTAGGAAGGGCTGGACTGTGGTCCCTGTGGACGACGCTGAAGCACCGTGACCGGGCAGAGCGAGTGACCGTCCCCGCACACCAGCCCCCCAGCCAGCGGCCCGGGGCAGGCGGCAGCATCCAGCATGGGGTGGAGCCAGGCCGCTGCCCAGGCCTCTACCCCAGAGGGCTGCCAGGGGCAGGGGGCCACGTCCCTGGCCTCGGGCTCCTGCCTGCCTCGCATGATGCCCACCTCTCTTGGGCCTGGCACTGCCCGCTGTCCGGCAGAGGGTCCCGCGGCAGGGACCCCCAAAGGCCAAGGGCTGCCAGGGCCCTGGGGGAGGCCGAGCCGTGCTGTCCAGGGCCCCCGAGTCAGGAGAATGGGGTTCTGCGGGTGCCTGGACCCCCCGGGGTGACGGCCAGGTGTGGGTCTCAGGCCCCAGGCAGCCGTGGTCAGGAGCAGCCATGTGTCCTCCATCACGGGAGCCCTGGGGCAGAGGGTCAGGGTCGGGGGACTCCTTCCCACCCCACCCCGCCCCACGCAGGGCCTGTTCGCCACCTCTGGTGGGAACAGGCGCCTCAGTTGGACACCCTGTGGGAGCTGGGCAAGGGCAGCACCTGCTCACAAGGGGCCACTGGACCTCGGGTCCACTAGGCCTTGGTTAGGCGAAGAAGTGAGGAGGCTCAGGAGAGACCAGACATCTGTAAGGTCACCCAGGCCTGTGAGGGAGAGGTGACGCAGGTGTGTGAGGAGAGAGGTGACCTGGGCGAGTGAGGAGAGAAGTGACTCGAGCCTGTGAGAGGAGGGGTGACCTGGGTTGTGTGAGGGAGAGGTCACCAGGCATTTGAGGGTGGTAGAAACAGGTTACCCGGCTTGTGAGGGAGAGAGAGGTGACCCAGGCCATGTGAGGGAGAGAGAGAGAGATCACCAAGTATGTGAGGGAGAGAGAGGTCACCTGGCCTATAAGGAGAGGGTGTGTCACGTGTGAGGAGAGGTTGCCCCGGGTGTGAGGAGAGTTCACCCAGGTGTGAGGAGAGGTCACCTGGCCTGTGAGAAGAGGTCTCCTGGAGTGTGAGGAGAGGTTGCCTCAGGCATGAGGAGAGGGAGAGGTTACCAGCGTTGCCCTGGTGTGAGAAGAGGTCGCCAGGCATGTGAGGAGAGGTCGCCCCGGGGGAGGGGGGAGAGGTCATATGGCGTGTGAGGAGAGCTCGCCGTGGTGTGTAGAGAGGTCACCCGGGTATGTAGAGAGATTGCCCGGGTGTATGGAGAGTTCACCTGGGTGTGTGGAGAGTTCGCCACAGGTATGAGGAGAGGTTACCCGGCGTGTGAGGAGAGGTCGCCTGGCTTGTGAGGAGAGGGCATCCCGGTGTGAAGAGAGGCCTGCGGGCGCGAAGAGAGGTCATCTGGCGTGTGAGGAGAGGTCATCTGGCGTGTGAGGAGAGGTTGTCCCAGGTGTGAAGAAAGGTTGCCCCGGGTGAGAGGAGAGGTCATCTGGCATGTGAGGTCACCTAGTGTCTGAGGAGAG